GCCTCCACGTCACAGGAATCAGTCTTGGCGTCAGAGTTGGTATGAAGTGTGCAGAGAAGAGGCGTGGCCTCCACGTCACAGGAATCAGTCTTGGCTGCTGCTCTTGATTCTCCTTCCCCTTGTGACGTTAAAGGAGGCAGATGCCCCACCACACTGTTCACGCACACACACTCACAGAGACATGCATAGATGTATACACAGATGCACACGCGCGCACGCACACATGGCCTCTCTCTGGCCCCGAGAGCCCCTGCCCTGTCCCACCGGGTCTGGGTGGCACTTGCCAGCTCGCTTGATGATGGCCTCTCCCAGGGAGGATGGGAAGTAGCCAACGCGGTCATTGCCCGTCCGGTTGTCATGAACACAGCCTTTCCACCGGCCATCTGGGTGCTGCTCCAGGACCTGGCCACACAGGGTACATCACGGCGCTGGGGACACCCTCCGGGTCCAGGCTGTGAGGTCCTCCGACTTTCTGCACGCCGCCCCGTCCCCACCGGCGGTGGGAGATACGGGCAAGGACGGTTCAGCCCCTGCCCCCAGCCCCGACCCTGCCCCAGCCCAGGCCCGGGTCCTCACGGTGATGATGTCCCCGGCCTTCACGTTCAGGCTGGTCAGGTCATAGTTGTTGCAGTAATCCTTGGTCGCTCGGACCTGCAGGGCCGCTGAGGCCTCTGGGGACACAGGAGGCCAGGCCCCAGTCCTGTGGGCCGGCTTGCCCAGGCTCCCTGCCCGGCCCTCTGCCCCGCCCCCAGGCCCACCTCGCAGCAGCTGCTTGATCTCCTTGCTGGCCTGCGACGTGGTGAACTGCTGCACAATGTCCAGGGCCGTCTGGCTGTAGGTGTTGCGCACCTGGGCGTTGATCCCGCTCTGTGGGGGCGGGGCCAGGCCATCAGAGTCGCCGCACCTGCGCTGCTCAGCCCAGCACCCCAGCCTCCGCCCGTGGCCCTGCTGCCCCAGCTCCCCCAGCCCACACCCGGCCTGGCCCTAGTCCTCCCGGCCTCCAGGCTGCCCCCGCCCCCCTTTGCTTTTCATCTGCCACCCTCCCAATTCCCCACACGGCCCCTGCACCCGCAGCCTCAGCCCCTCGCTCACGTCGAGCAGAAGCCGGACCACTTCTGTCTTCCCGCAGAGCGCGGCCTCATGCAGTGCTGTGCCGGACTTGGTCTGCCGGTTGATGTCGATGCCGGCTTGGAGGAGGAGTCTGGGGAGGGCAGGGGAGAGGGCCCTGTGGCAGGAGCCCTCTGCCCCAGCCCGGCCAGGCCCCAGTTCCCTGAGGCAGCCCTGCCCACTGTCCCTAAGGATGCTGCGTCTGACCCTGGCCACACACCTGTCGGAGGGCTCAGCTAACACCCACAGCTGTGGTCTCGTCTGATCCCAGCCTCGGCCCGCCTGGGATGCCCACTTTGTGGAGGGGGAAACTGAGGCTCGGAGAGATTAAGTGCCTTCCACAAGGTCACACAGTACGGCTGTCGGGCTGCAGAAGGTACCCCCTTGCCCAGATTCCGGGCAGTCTGCTGCCCCGCCTGGCCAGCTCACCCTGTATGAGGATTGGGGTCTGACCACGTCCCCACAGCTCCCCGGCCGCCCCAGGGTCCCAAGGCTGGGACCCTTCCCCACACAGCTGTACCTGATGATGTCGATGTGGCCATTCTTGGCTGCCAGGTGCAGGGGGCTGGTGCCGTTGGGGTCGGTGGCCCCCGGCCGTGGCTCCAGCAATGCAGCACACATGTTACTGCTCAGAAGCAGCTGGACCACCTTGAAGGAAGGGGGGTCCTGATGTGGGGCGGGGGGCTCGGATCTGCGCCCAGCGCCACCCCAGGAGATGAGGTCCACACAGGGAGTAGGGAACGGGGAGCTGAGCCCTCCCACCGGGCTCCCGCAGACTTACCCCGACGCGGCCGAACTCGCACGCCAGGTCCAGGGGCGTCTTCCCCGAGTTGTCCACCATGCAGGGGTTCGACTGATGCTGCAGGAGCATCTCCGACTGCAAGGGGCCCCAGGCGCCTGTCAGGCCACACCGCGCGGCCCAAGGCTGCCCTCCCCATGCCGCCCTCCCCACCCCCGTGAAGGTGCCCGCCAGGCCACGCCGCCCTCCCCACCCCTGCCCCAGCCCTCACCACATCATAGTGCCCGTGCTGAGCCGCCAGGTGCAAGGGGATGTGGCCCTCGTCGGATGGGACGTTCACCGCTGAGCCCGCCTTTAGCACCAGCTTCATGGGCTCCTTCCGGCCCTGCCAGGCCGCATAGTGCAAGGGCCGCATGCCTGGGGGCAGTGGGGGCTGTGGGAGCTGACCTGACCCTGACCCAGACTCTGACCCCAGTCCTGACCTCCAGAACCCTGATCCCCTGAGAACCTTCCTTGACACACAGGAGTCCCTGGGCTGTTAACCATGGTAAGAGGCTGCCTAGGCCTCTGGAACCCCCCACCTCTGATCTGGGCTCTGATCTCCAGACCATGCAGGCCGTGGCACCTCCCGGCTCTCCCCAGCCCTACCCTTGTTGTCCTTGATGTCCACAGCAGCCTGGGCTTCCAGCAGCAGGGAGATCAGCTCAGTGTTGCCATTGAGGGCCGCGTGGTGCAGAGCTGAGAAGCTAGGGTGCCCAGCAGACACGTATGGGAGAGGGTGGGGCCACATCCCCAGGAGCCCAGGCCCCATGCCTGGTGGGGCCCCCATTCCCAGGAACCCAGTCCCCATGCCAGGCTGGTGTCCCCATTCCCAGGAACCCAGTCCCCATGCCAGGTGGGCCCCCATCCCCTGGAGTCCAGTCCCCACGCCAGGCTGCCCTGGCCCCAGCTAAAATCTCACCCATCTGGATCCTGGAAGTTGACATTGATCTTCTTGGTGGAGCCCAGGAGTTCTGGGGGTGGGAAGGGGACCCAGTGAGGGGGGGGGGCTGCCTGGCTCCCAGCCCCTCTAGGCAGGAGGCCTGAGAGCAGGGAGGGGTGCTGCTGGACCACGGTGGGCTCAGAGCTCACAAAGATTCACTCATTCACTCACTCGCTCATCTGTGCCCTGTGCCAGGCTCCAGCTCTGTGGCCCCTGCTTTCCCGCTGTACCAGGCCAGGAGGGCCGTGCTGCCAAGCCCCTGGCTGACTCGGCCTGGGGACAGGAGGCAGGGCTAGGCATGGCACAGGCTCACACGTGTATATACACCCCCCCCCCGGGTGCTGGCGGTGCACCCTGCAGCGGTGGGAGGAGAGAGCCGGCCCAATCTGTCTCTCAGAAGGACCCAGATGGGGCCGGGGGTGGCCTGGAGAGGCTGGTCTCTCACTTGGGGGAAATGGTGCTCCACAAGGAGACTCCCCCACTCCCGGGCCCAGGCCGGTGCAGACCAACCCACCCTGCCCAGGCCAGCAAGGGCTCAGGGCCTGCAGGGCAGAAAGGAACACAGGCAGGGTGCCCAGTGGCCCGGGGACCAAATATGAGACCCCCCCTTGACCACACAGGGCCACACGCAGCCCCGCTGAAAAGGAGGGTCCTGACGCCCCATTCTGGGCCTCCGTCCCCTCCTGGCCCGCCCCATCCTGGCCCCTGGAGGAGGGGAGCCCCGCGCCCCCTACCCATGGACTCCGGTCCAACCGGACCCTGGCCAAGCCCCTGCCTGCCCAGGCCATGGTTACATAACTCATTTGTGGGTCAGACACTCCGTGAGGGAGGGGGCTGGCAGGACAGAAGCCCCTTTGTCCAGGCCCAGGACGGGAGCGGGGAGGGCCCAAGGGCAGGGGGAGCCAAGAGACGGAAGTGACAGAGGACCCAGAGCTCTGGGTCGCCGGCAGCGCCCGGACGCAAGGATGGGTCACGCAGCAACAACCCACAAAGCCCATGAAGCCTGAGGGGCCTGGGTTCCAATCCCAGCCCCGCCGCTCACTGGGCCAGAGCCTGGCCACTGGCCTTCTCCCTAAGCTTGAGATTCAGGGAGGCAGGGGCACTGGGGGGCCGGCCTCCCAGATGAGCATGCATTAGCAGGCGCCGAAACGCAGGGCCTGGCAGGAAGTCAGGGCCCGGTAATTGGCAACTACTAATATTAGCTGTGCAGGAATCCCACCCCCAGCCTCTGGAGCTGGCAAGGGGTTTCTCCTACAGGAACGGAGGGGCTGTGAGGAAAGAGGCGTGCCCAGCCTCCCCTGCATCCTCCCCCAAGGCTCACACAGCTTCACCGCGCGGCCAACCAGCAGCCCCCCTGGCAGGCCACTAGGCCCAAACCCCGAAGTCAGCCCTGGCTCCACCATCAGTAAACCCTCGGCCTTTAAGACACAGAACATCGCACTGAAGGGAAGGACACAGGGAAGAGGTGACTACAAGGAGGAAGTGGGAAGAGAGCTGTTACACTGTGGGGAATTGCAGTCAACGTTCTGAGACAAAATGTGTATGAACTGCTGTATGGAATACGAATTTGCGCTGTAAACTTTCCCCAAAATCACAATAAAAATGAAAAATATTAGTAATAAAAAAGCCACAAAACCAGGACACACTCAGCAGTCAACCGCCTCTCACCCCCACCCTCGCCACCACCTCTCACTGGCATTCCTGCTTCCGCTCTGCCCCCGTCCGTCTGTCCTCCACACCCACTGCATCAGGGGGTCTGTTAGAGCATCCACCAGGACCCCTTCACCCACGACTGTCACCACGCCTGCGCCAGCCGCTGGGCCTCCTCCCTGTTCCTCTGACATACTGGCTGCTCCCGCCACAGGGCCTTGGCACATGCTGTGTGTGTGTGTAGGGGCTTTTAATTCAATGAGCCCATGGCTCCCTGCCTCTCAACCTTCAGTGGCAGCTCTCAGCGGGACCTCCCAGCCTCCCTACAAAAGCCGCAACCCTCTTTCGACGGCTTCCATGCCGAATGCATTTGACTGTTAACCAGAAGGCTGGCGGTTCAAACCCACCAGCCGCTCCTCAGAACGCAGATTTGGCAATATACTTCCCTAGTGATACTGCCTCGGAAACCCAAGGAGGGGTTGCAATGAGTCGGATCCGACTCGACGGCAGTGAGTTGGAGTGAGATTATCCAACTCCATCAGTAAACTGCAAGCTCCGTGAGAACACGGCTGTTTCTCCATGTTGTTCACTGCTGTACGAACTAGAGCAGTGCCCCATGAATAGGAGGCGCTCAGTAAAGTGTCGGTTAACCGACAGCCTCCACATGCTCTGTCCAGCCCTCAGGGCCGGCTGCACGGACGTGCGACCTACACAGACACTCAGAAGGGCCTCACGCCTGGTTGAACGCCTGCTGCTGCCATCTTGAAATTCTAAATGATTTCAGAGCAAGGCGCCTGCCCTCATCTTGTGCGTTGCCTCCCCACACCCACTCCCCCCATGCTCATCCCCACTTTTGCTCAGGACTTTATACAAGACATTCTCCCTTCTGGAACTTTCTGCCGAACTCTCCTGTTTTTCTGTCCCCCGCGCTTCTCAGTTCCAACACAGGCCGTCCTTCTCAGCCTCGTCCCGCAGGACTTCCTAACCCAGCGCCCTAACCCTCCCCACTCACTCACACACAGTCAAGGTCTCCTGGGCAGCGGCTGGGCCAGGTGTGCTGAGCGGAACCCGCAGCCAGGCCACCTGCTCACCTGGCCACACCTGCAGACTCCTCGGCCAGGGGCTGAAACTGTGGAGTGGCTGGAGGCCTGGCCCCAGAAGTGGCCCGGACACAGGTGTGCACGGGAGGTCTCCATGAGGAAGATGGCCACCCCCATGGGGGGACAGGCACCTCTCTAAGGTCATCTCACCCTCTCCCTGCCCGTGCCTTTGTCAGAGAGGAAAAGAGCTGGATGGGATACAGGGGGGCTGGAAGTCTGGGGGCGCTCCAGGAAGGTCCCCAGCTACAGCCAAGGGCAGCCCAGCAGAGGACGGCTGGAGGGCAGCTGGGGAGGTGAGGGGCACACAGGGACCAAGCTGGCGGCCCAATGGGCGCCCTCCACAGGGGCCCCTTCCTCTTCCCACAAGGCCTCTGCGTCTCACTCCTCTGCATCACCAGCTCACACAGTGGTGGTGCAGTGGTCAAGCACTTGGCTGCCAACCCAAAGGCCGGCAGTTCAAACCCCCCAGCCACTCCGTGGGAGAGTTACAACCTGTTCCTGTAAACATGACAGCCTTGGAAACCCTATGGGGCAGTTCTACTCTGTCCTCTAGGGTCACTCTGACTAGGGACAACTCGATGGCAGTGGCTTTGCCAGCTCAGATACCCACATCGTCCCACCTCTCTAGCTTCTCCCCCGAGGACCACCCTCCCCTTGGCAGTCGGGCCCCACTCCATGCGGCAGAGGCCTTGGAAGACTGGCCCAGCCCCTCCCCGACCTTTCACCCCAACCCTCCACCCAGGTACCCTCCCAAGTCCAGAAGCCACTCACAGCCACGCCCACAGGGCCCCATCTGTCCCCTCCAGGAACGAGGTCAAGGTCACTGCCTCCTGGGTCCCACCTCTGAGTGACTGAGCCCTGGGCCTCTAGCAGGCAAGGACTCTCCCCCAGAGTAAACAGGGCCTGGCAGCTTCCTCCAGCCCCCACCAGGCAGGGAGTTGGGCTTGGGTGCTCCTAGGAGTGGGTCAAGGAGGGTGGCAGCAGCCCCCAGCCAGTATGTTCAGGCCACTCTTCTTGGGGCATCTAGCCTGACCCCAGGAAGGCGCCGTTGGACCAAGGGGCAGGGCTGAGTCCCTGTGCCCAGTGGACTGCCAGCTCCTGCTCTACATCCCCCTCCAGAGTGGGGTCTCCGCCCAAAGGACACCCAAAGCGGGCCTGCGCATGTGTCAGGTGAGCCGAACTTCCAGGCTGATGGCAGTTCCTTGGGGCACCACGGGGCAGGGGCTGTGGAGGGAAGGTGCCAGGGAGGGCCAGAGGGACCACCCACCAGGGGTCTCAGTGCCACCTCTGGGGCCAGGGGAGGCCCAGAGGGCACGGCTGGTCGGCCCCCACCCCACGGCCCAAACTCCAGCTGTACTTTGCTGAATCAAAATACATCTTACTCCAAAGCAGGCCAGTGTTGCCATGGCAACCGTGCGAGAATTCGTGGAGGGATCTCTCCGTCTGATTTATGATGCCCGCCCCTGTGAGTCACAGAGTGCACATCCCGGGCCCCGGGCAGGTGGCTCCTCACCCCAAAGGCCAGGGCGAGCAGAGGCAACGCGGAAGGGAGCCAATGAGCACAGGTCCCCAGCTGTCCCGGGCCAGGTCCCTCAGCGGGCCCGAGCGGAAAGGAGGCGGAAACCCCAAAGCTAGCCTCCACATCCCGGGCCACAGAGCTCTGCGCAGCCTAAGGGACCGAGCAGTGTCCACAGCTGTGGAGCGCTTACCGGGAGCTGCACTTCAGGGACCGTCCCTCCCGGAATTCTCCCACCCTCGCTGTGGTCAGAAACCACCCCATCCTACAGATGAGGAAACCGAGACCAGAGCAGCCGAGGTGCTGTGTGGATGCTGTTTGGCCACTAGGGGGAAGCCTTCCCCGTCTTCACCTCTTAATCCCTCCACCTGCCTTCCTGGCCAGAGGCTGCCTCTGCAAGGACCCCCTCCCTTCCCGAGCCCCTCAGTGCAGTGGCTGTGGGGAAGGCAGGGCCAGCCTCGGCGTCCGTGTGTGCGTGTGTGTGTGTGTGTGTGTGTGTGTGTGTGTGGTGCTGACCTGGGGGCTCCTCCTGGGACTCAAACACCTTCCCCCAACACCTGGCAGGAGCCAGGCCCAGTTCTCGCATCCTCCTGCAGGGTGGGGAGGGGCGCCCACAGACACACCGTCCACGGCGCAGCCAGGGGAGGGGTCCCCCAGACCCCACGTGCGCTCTGCAGGGCCCTGCCCCCCAACACAGGTGCCCTGACACACTGACACGGTCATACGTGCGCAGCCGCACACGCGCCGGCCACACGCCCA